CCCAGTCAGCACCTGCGCCCTCCCCACCCCGGCCGCCACCACTCCTCCCGGGGCCGAGGAACCCTGGAATCCGGGAGGAGAGGCGGCGCCTGGCCAGCAGCGCGCTACACCTCGGTGGGACGGAGCCCCCGGAGGACAACGGGCCTGGAACCCAGAAACCTCCTTGGCCCACCTCCCCCACCCCGAGGACCAAGCTCGGCTCCTCCTCGGGGGACTGCTGAGCCCCAGCTGGCCCTCCGGGCTGCTCAGCATCCCCCTCCCTAGTGTAGGATGAAGACATCTCTTACCTGGGGAAGGTCATGCGGGAAATCAAAGGAGGTTATTTCGGACGAAGTGCGCAGTTGAGAGCAGGGGTTATAACTACGGTCACATCAACAGCGATAGCGTGGGGATTTGTCAAAGGAAAGGCCCCTCCGTGGCATTAGACCAGGACAATCTCTGCAGCAGCATCCCTCCCCCCTCCCGAAAACAATGAGGTTCATAAAACTAGAGTGACGTTGTGGAGGGAGAGCTACTTTCCAGATACTGAATCAAGCGCTTCACATGAACTCTCTGGTTTAACAATTCACCTCCACTTCACAGATGAGGAGACTGACACAGGGAAGTTGCATAATTGCATGGGGTCATGGGCCAGTATCACAAAGTGCGAAGGCACACTTCCTGGACTCCGGAGTCCAGGGGGTCGGCTGAGGGGTGGGGAGGCTGCGGTTTGAGGGCCGGCTCCCCGTGAGGCCTATCACTGATGAGAAAGTTCCCCTTTCTGATCCACCCCTTTTCTTTTCCACCAAGGGGTGAATGATTCGATTTCTCTCAGAAACAATAACAACAAAACAAAAATAAAAGCAAAACCCAACCACTAACACAAACAAGTCCCGTGTCTTTTTGCAAAAGAGAATACTGGGAGCCACTCCTGGGAGCCAGTCCAGGGTCCCCCAGGGTGGGAGGGCTCAGACAGGTGAGAACTGCAGGCGGAGCAGGAAGGCCCAGGCCAGTTGTCCTGAGCACCACACTCTGGCCCTCAGGCTCCAGGGGTGGGGACTCTCCCAAGCAGGACTCTGAGGTGAGCTAAAGGAAAAGGCCTCTCCCAGACCAGCTCCTAGGGAAGAAAGAGGAGACCCAGCCAAAGCTCTGACCAGTTCTGCCGCTACCCAACCACACTCCCACCCTCAGGCCTCTGGGCTATCTTACTGACAAAATCCATCTTGAGCAGTGACTCTTAAGTTAAAAATGAAACAAAACAAAACTGAGAATCCACATGCTAACACACGTCCCCAACCCCAAACCCAACTGTGGTGTTTCTTAAGTATGGGTTCTTCCCTAGTTAGTACCAAAAAGATGCACGCTGCTTTAATTCTTAAAATGAAATGGAATCATTACACCATAATGAAGGTTGGATATAAAGCAATGGAATCAGTTTTCGTCTTTTCCCACGTTATCCGTATTTATTAAGCATTTTCCACAAACATCACCTGCATGCAAGGCTCAGACACTCAAACCAAAACTGACCTGGAAACCATAGACGTATTTGTTAAAAAACTGTTAGGTAGTTTTACAACATTAAATAAAAATAACCAGTTTCCCAAACTCCTCAACCACATGCGTTTTTATCATTTCTAAAGATGTGGAAATCACATTGGCTTTGTGACTACATTCCAAGGAGGGTCAGGCCACCATGCTTGCCTTCCACACAGCCTCCCTGCCCTGAGACCAGTAATTAAATGCACATCGAAATAGAAAGCTCACCTGTGGGTCTATCTTTCTCCCCTAAACTCCTCGCTCCAGGCCTCTCACTCTCTGCTCTCTCTGAAGTGTTGGACCAAGGGGGTATACAGGGACTCTTGCTCTGCCCCCATACCCTAGCCCTGCTGCTACCCAGTTTCCCTTTCAAGATGTCTTCTTCAGAGGGAAGAGGTGCAGGTTGAAGAAAGGATGTGCGCTGGGGATGTGGCTGTGCTAAGCAGATTAACAAAGAAAGAGGAGGAAGAGAAGGAGAAGGGGATTGGATTATTTAGGGGCATCTATTTCACTGGGTCTTTGACACCTCCTTTCAATTATTTCTAAAATGTTAAGGCAGAAACCTGAATCAAAATGGCTCTGTTTCTGGGCAGATAATAGCATCCATTTAGCTGCCTGCCATGTGTTGGAGAGGGTTCCAATTAGTACAGTTTTTCCTTTTGAAGAGTTGGTTTCTCTAAAGAGGTGCTTGGTTATGGAGTGCTGGGACCTGCGCAATAGTGGCAGCCGCCGAGGCCGATTCAACATCACCAGAGGAGGCCTCAGATTTACGGAAACCTGTCCCTTCTTCCGGAAGGTCAGCCAGCGCTACCCACCGGCCCCCACAGGCCCGTGCCCCCAGGAGCGCTTCTCCCCTCCAGTCAGGGTGGGCGCCGCAGTTCCGGCCCCAGCAAACCGCCCGGCCAGTGGTCCTCGCCGGGGCCCTAGGCCCGCTCCCTCCTCTGTGAGTGGTCGGTGCCACTGACAAGGAAGAGACCCCGCTTCTCACCGATGTTCCTGCGGCCGCAGGGGTGCGACACTGGAGGGCTGCGGCGACGCACTAAGGCCTGGGGGCAACCGGCCTTCTC